ACATCCAGTTTGACCAGCACCCTTAGTTGAAGATTTTTTTTTCCCAGTGTGGATTTCTGGCTTCTTTATCATCGTTAAAGCTCAGGAACCAGAGTGCCTGTGTTCAGTTCCTGGCCCTAGCCCTGTGTAAGCCTGTGAGCATGGTATTTAACATTTTAAAAATAAGATACTCATTATTTTATATGTATTGACTTTTGCCTACATGTGTGCCTGTGCACCATGTGCATGCCAGGTGCTCAGTGAGGCCAGAAAAGTGCATTGGCTTTGGAGGTACAGGTGTTGTGAATTTCCTTGTGGGTACTGGGCATTGAACTAGGGTTCTCTGGAAGAGCAACATCAAGCCATCTTTCCAGCCCATTATTTAACATCCTAATGACTCAGTTTCTCCAGTTAAAATTGCATTTATTTATTTACTTACTGTGTCCATGCATGTATATGTGCTATAGAGTGAGTGCGGAGGGGAGAGGACAACTTGCAGAGTTTGGCTCTCACCTTCCACCATGTGGGTTCCAGAAACTGAAGGCAGGTTCTCAGGCTTGGTGCTGAATGCCTTCACCTGCTGATCCCTCTTGCCAGCCCAGTTTCCCCACTTTTAGGATGAAGGCTGTAATTATACACACTTCAGAGGGTTATTAGCTGAGATGCAGTCTATAAAGTTTTTCAAAACAGTCCTTGACGGAAGTGTCAACTTCTGATAACAGCCTGCCATTGTTACAATACAAACAGTCCGGAAATATTCAGGAAAGAACGGCTGTCCACTTGGAGAAGTCGGAAGTGTTTCTGAGTTCCGTTTGACCTGGATATATTAGCTGGTAGTCTGTCCCTGTGTTTGAGAACCTGACACCGGCTACATGGGAAGTATTTAGATCACAGTTTTGAAGGCTCAGGGTCCACATGGCTCAGGCTTGATCCCTGGCTGTATCATCAGGTGCAAATGGCAGATAGCAATGGCAGGAGAATATATTGGGAACAGACATGTGATTATATCTTGAACCAGGAGCAAGAGAGACGGGGAGTGAGAAAAGACAGACCAGAGCCCTATCATCCCTAGGGACCTAAGAACCAGTCACAGGGTCGTAGGTCAGAGGCCTGACTCAGCCATCATTCCAGGAATTAAAGGGAAAAAACAGCAGTGGAAAGGTGGGGCAGGGATGGGATCAGTGCGACCATCAGGTAAGACAAGAGGTCAAGCATTCAGGAAGAACTGGCTCAGGGGTGAGAGGGAGGCATGGATTAAGGAGTCTGTCATGCTATGGTCTGGCTGGGTCTCATCTCAGGTCTGGATTTTCCAGGTTCTAGAGAAGTCAATAGAGATTGTCACCCCCATTTGGTGGGGGTGGGGTGGGGGTGAAGGTAGAGGGAGAGAGGCAGTCTTACCATGAAGTGGTCTGCCGAAAAATCTGTCCCTGAGTTCTGAGGTGATTGCAAGTTATGAGCAAAGACCAGAAGCATCTAGATGCTGCACCAGGACAGTAGAACCTGGGATAAAAACTCACCTTTGAATACCCTTTCTTTTCTTTTTTTCTTGGTGCCCTTAATCTGGAAGTGAGTTGAGATAGGATAAGTATATTTAGAGCTAATCAACCATGTATTACCAGTTTTTATGCAGAGACTCCATAAATGATTAATTTGCCTGTGTGTGTCAAGCAGGAATCTCATCTGAAATTCAGAGACAGAGACAGAGACAGATGTAAAACGAGGGACCTGTTTTTAGCTGTCCATTGTGACATTTGCAGGCGCGCGCGCGCGTGTGTGTATGTGCGCGCACATGCATCTAATAAAGCAACTCTAAGTCATTGTGATGCTCCTATTAGGCCCTACCTTTTTTGGCAGGGTTTCTCTGTGTAGCCCTGACTGTCCTGGAATTCACTCTGTAGACCATGCTGGCCTCGAACTCACAGAAATCCACCTGCCTCTTCTTCCAGAGTGCTGAGATTAAAGATTAAAGGCGTGTGTTACCACTGCCCAGTGTAGGTCCCACCTCTTTAATGTCTTGGTATTACATCAAGCCTTTAGGCACAGGGTTCTTTGGGGAACACCCACCATCCAGACTACAGCACAATACCATGATAGAGAAGCAGGAATTTGCTTGGAGTTAGACATTTGGGGACTTTGAGATGGCAGATATGGAAATAAGAATGGTAGCCTAGCAGTGGTGGGAACAAGTCTTTAACCACCTTTAATTCTAGCACTCGGGAAAAGAGACAGACAGATCTCCGTGAGTTGGATGCCTGGTTTATAGAGTGAGGTTCCAGGACAGCTAGCTAGGGCTACACAGGGAAATCCTACCTGAAAAAATACAAACAAGCAAAGAAAGGAAGGAAGGAAGGAAGGAAGGAAAGAAGGAAGGATTGTGTTCTTAGAAGCTGCTGTTGGCCAGTCTGGCAAAGCTACTCCAAAGGACAAGATGCACTTAGATGTGTATGACGAGCAGGTTTCCTTCCTCATCACAGTGCTGGTTGTTCTTGAGACTAAGTGCTAAATTCTGAATGTGACATGTAACACGTTTATGATGGTGATTAGTGATTTTGGTCTCTGTGAACTTTGACCTCATTGGTGCTGACAAGCAAATCCTAGGTGTCAGGACCATGGCCCAGGAACACAGAGTCAGAGCACCCCAAATACCGTGCTGCAACATGCTACAATTTCCTGAAGCTTTTATAGTAAAAAGAAAAGCAAAGAAAACCATGAATCAAGACAAATTAAATACATTGGAGACACTAGGCAGGCGGATTACAGTCAGGTGGAGGAAATCTCTGCTGCAGGCCCCAGACAATGTCTGATGACATGCTTAGTCTTTGGCTTGCTGAAATCTAGTGGTCTCTTTGTACGTTCCCACAGACCTACCTGATAGAGAGTGCTAAGTGAAGCGCAGAGGTGTGCCTTGAATGGATGTGTAGGAGACTTAGCGAGCCCGAGGTAATTTTGCTCCCAGCGGTGCCATTCCAGGCCTCCACAGTCACAGGCTTTAAAAACATTTCTTTATTCTTATTGCGTATGATGCATGGGTAAGAGGCACACTCGAGCAACTGTGAAGATGTGAAAGTCGGAGGACAGTGTTGTGGAGTCCTCGCCTGCCTCCTGTGTGGGGTCCAGTGACTGAACCCAAGTCATCAGGCTTGGTGGGACGTGCCCTTAGCTACTGAGCCATCTTGCAGGCCTAGTAATTCACTTTTAAAACATAACCGGGTAAAATTAGAAATTTTCATTTGGGATAGGGGCTTGTTTTCAGGTTTCAGTAATGTACCTCAAAGTATTGGAAAATACATTTGCAGTTTACTACTACTATTATTATTGTTTGTGATATTAAGCATGTAAATTCAAGTTTCTCATTCTGTCTGGCACACAGGCTAAAATCTTTTAAAAATATTTTAGAGTCTAGAGCAGTGGTTCTCAACCTGTGGGTTGTGACTCCTTTGGAGGTTGCATATCTGATATCCTGCATATCAGATATTTATATTATGATTCATAAAAGTAACAAAATTAAAGTTATGAAGTAGTAATGAAAAGAATTTTATGGTTGGAGGTGATCACCACAGCATGAGGAACTGTATTGAAGGGTCACAGCATTAGGAAGGTTGAAAACCATTTCTCTAGGGAGATGGTTTAGCTGCTAAGAGTCCTTGTTCCTCTTCCTAAAGACACTAGATCAGTTTCTAGCATCCATACTGGGCAGCACACAACTGTCTGTAACTCCAGCTAGAAAGGATCTGATGCCTTTTTCTTGACTCGGCCGGTGCATGCGCATGTACACACACACACACACACACACACACACACACACACACACACACAAAGACATATATTTTTTTAAAAAAAGACTTTATTTAATTTCTATTTGTACATGTGTGTATGTGATGTAGGTGCTGGGGTCTGAACCCACTCCTCCTGATAGAGCAGTATGTGTTCTTAGTCACCAAGCCGTTATCCTTTCTCTCTTCTGCGGAAACTCTTGTAACACGTTCACTGTTAAATGAATTTGTTTCTAATTAAAAAATACTGAGAAAATGCTTTGTTGAATTATCTCAAGCAGTATGTTTATGTTAAAAAGCAGAGATGAAATTAAAAATGAAAATAGAAAAGGTCTTTAAGATAGCCCCTAATAGATGCCTCCTTAGAAAAAACTTGATTGTAAAGCTACATTGGACAAATCAAGCATCGAGCTACATCCCCAGCCCTTAATACTTCAGAAATCTTTAAAGACTGCTTCTTTTTCTTCTTAGAAAAAAAGATGGTAGAGAGTCTTAATTACAGTTCAAGGTTTATTGTCCTTTATGATTTCTAGCAGTCATGAAAGTATTTTATATTTCAGTTGTCCGAATTCCCGGAGCTAAGCCTATAGAGAGGTAACTCAGAGCCTAAATAATTGAGCTTTAAAAACTTACCCAGAGGACACCAAAATCAACTTCTAGATGGAACTGTGTAATTTACTTCCTCAGAAACTTTAAAAAACACTATGTATGTGCCAGAATTTATTTCTGAAATAGATTGGGTTGTGTTCTAATGCTGGGAGTAGCCAGGTGATCCTAAGAAGAGTATCATGTGTGCCCTTTGGCCGCCGTTCTTTGGATGCGGACTGGCATCTGCTGCCATGTCAGCTGCTGTTAGAGCCCCCCTGATTCCCTTACCTTCTTGTGCCTTGGTTAATAGCACAGTATGGTCTCTCCTCTGTGACGGAGTCTACAGTGAACAAAACGTGGCAGGGAATGGGTCTTAGAGTGCCTGGAAAATGGCGGTGTATCCTTGCTGCATTTCCGTCCAGTTTGACAGGAAGTGAGAACCAGACTTCAGTCCGTGCCCTGAGTTGTAGACTCAATATTAGAGCGCTATGGCTTTGAGAGTTCAAAACAACAGCGACAGACAGTGGGTATGGATAAAGTAAATCCTGTCACTGTGGTCTTCTGGGGGTTAGTTTTGCCATCCCATTTTAATGTTCTGTCTTGGCTACTCTTGGTACAAACACTGACACTAGAATAAATGTAGCTTTTGTTCTCTTTCAGATTTACCAAAAACTTATCTCCTGACAAGATCAACCTAAGCACCCTGAAAGGAGAAGGCGAGCTGAAGAACCTGGAGCTGGACGAGGAGGTGCTCCAGAACATGCTGGATCTGCCCACGTGGCTGGCCATCAACAAAGTGTTTTGTAACAAAGCATCTATCAGGGTAAGGCTTGGGTGTCCCAGGAGACTTCTCATACTGTTAGTCTTTGTTTCTTCTCTGTCCTTTAAACTAAGTTCTCAGCTTCAGGTCCTTCCATTAGAAGCATTTTATATCTGCAGCTTACATAGAAAATACCTGCATAAAAAAATCCCCCCCCCAGAAAATAGCTGCATAAATGACTGTCCATTCCCTATGTATGTATTAATAACTTAAATTTACATTTTGTTTTAAACTATTTTATTGAAAATTTTTTTTGATGTGTGGACCTCAGATCAACATTATTATTTTTATTTATTTATTTTTGCTTTTGTTTTTTTAAATTTTTAATTAATTAATTAATTAAAAATTTCCACCTCCTCACATCCTCCCATTTCCCTCCCGCTCCCCCTCCCCCTCACTCTTCAGTCCTAAGAGAAGTCAGGGTGCCCTGCCTTGTGGGAAGTTCAAGGCCCGCCCCCTCCATTCTAGGAAGGTGTGCATCCAAACAGACTAGTCTCCCAAAAAGTCAGTACATACAGTAGAATCAAAATCCAATGCCATTATCATTGACTTCTCAGTCCGCCCTCATTGTCAGCCACATTCAGAAAGTCTGGTTTGATCACATGCTTGTTCAGACCCAGTCCAGCTGGCCTTGGTGAGCTCCCACTAGATCACTGATGAATATCTTGAATATCACCATAGAACCTTCATCTGGCGAGGGATGGAGACAGAGACAGAGACCCACATTGGAGCACTGAACTGAGCTCCCAAAGTCCAGATGAAGAGCAGAAGGAGGGGGAATATAAAAAAGGAAGGCAGAACCACGAGGGGTGCGTCCACCCATGGAGACTGTGGAACTGATCTATTTTATTCAAATTTTAATCAAATTAATTTGTTATAAATTAGCTACTTCACTTTGGCATGTATTCAGTGATAGTTTACCCCTTCCCTTAGGATTTATTGTCGATTGCAATGATTTAAATTTATAGTACTTCATTTTAAAGATAAGAATTGTCGTTTATTACTGTAGACGTCATGCTATCGTGCTATTTTAGAGTTTTATCCCTTTCATGTGTGACTGGATGTATTTGAACATTGTCTCTTTGTTGTTGTTGGCATTTTCCACCAATAAATTTGTTTTGAATAGCTGCAAAAATACTGACTGGAATTCTAAACTTAAACAAATTAATAAACAGAACAATGATTATGCTTTGCTGAGGATTCTTAAATTGTCTAATTAAAATGCATTTTAAGGACTGTTCAAAACTTGCAAATTATCTTCTTTAGATAATTTAAATGATTTTCTTATGTGACAAAGATACCTTGATTTCAATAGTATGAATAATTTGTAGTCTGAGAGAGATGTATAATGTAACTTGCTGCCTGTTTTTTATATACAGAGATGTCTGTTGAATAGTATTTCATATTAATTTTTAATAATTAATTTTAAAGAAAAAATTTTATTTGTAGATTCCATGGACAAAACTGAAAACACATCCCATCTGTTTGGTGAGTAGAGAAACTGTCTCAAAATAATCATTTGCACATGTAAATTAGTTGTTATATAAATATTAATATTTTGTTTCTTGAACTTTCCATTTATTAGCTTTTGCTTTATTTTTATTGGGCTTATTTTTTTCTGCTATTATACGGGAAGCTTGAACTTTAGGAGGCATTTTAAACTTTATTTCTAGAACCTTATATCTAGTTGGCATATTGCATCTTTTAATTCTTCACTGCCATATTTTAGAACTACTTCAATAACTTTTGACCCAGACTTTCTGTGTTTTTGCTCTCCTTGGTCTAATAAGTTTAGTTATATGTTCTGCAATGTTCTTCACTTTTTAAAGAAAATCGAATAAAATAGATCATTTAAGCCTTTTTAAAGATAGTTTCTTCATTGATTCTTTGGGAATTTCGTATCATGCATCCTAATTCCGCTTGCCTCCCAGTCTCCCTATATCCTCCTCTTAACCCTGCAGTGCCCCCTCAAAAAAAAAAGAAAGTTAAAAAAATTGAACCAAAGGAAAACAAAGCAAACAACAAAAACAAGAAAACAAAACAAAAAGACTTCTTTTCCATTTTTCTCGCCTCTCTGACACTTCTATATTCGTCCTCATGGCATTGGGAGCGAGTAGACCCTTTTGTCCAGTCAGCTTTACTAGCAAATGTTCATTGCACCAAGTCTTATTTTATTATTTGTGTGTGCGCACGCAGCATAAGTGCCATGGCGGGCATGTGAAAGTTAAGGGCAACTTGCAGGAGCTGGTTCTCTCCTTCCACCCTGTGTTCCAGCTAGGGAGCTCAGGCTGTCCACCTTTGGCGGCACACGTCTCAACTGTGCCTTCTCACCGGCCCTGGATTCGTTACTGATGGAGTCATTCATTCTGTAATTTTGCAGTGGTGTTCTAGACTGAACTCATGTACTTGAACATTCCATAAATATTCTTTATAATAAGAGAGAAAACCTGTTTTCTCTTTTTTCTTTTTATTTTTTTATTTTTTATTTTTTTTGAGATAGGGTTTCTCTGTGTAGCCCTGGCTGTTCTGGAACTCACTCTGTAGACCAGGCTGGCCTCGAACTCATGGAGATCCACCTGCTCTACCTCCTGAGTGCTGGGATAAAAGGTGTGTGCCGTTACCACCTGACTGAAATCACTTTTTTCTTGATCTGAAGAAATTTATATTTTAACAGAAGTTGACTGAACAAATACACAATAAAATAAGATGATTTTAAATAGTGGTAAATGCTATATTTAAAATGGAAAGTGAAAGAAGTAATGGATTTGTAGATAGATACACTCCCTGTTAAAGGCATTACATTTATCTTCAAGAAAAAATATTTGGAAAATATAATTTTCCTCTTATGGGAGTGTTTCTCTCACTCATTTCATAATTTTCTTAGTTTATGTCTTATATCTCCTGTCTCAAGATAAGACTTTTTGATGTAGTTCAGTCCCATTCATTAATATATGATTTATCAGTTATGCGATGCTACAAATAGGATTGGAGATTATGCTTCCATTAAATCTAGTGACTTCATCAGTTAATGGCTGCTTCTGTATCTTCTCCCCCAAACTCATAAAATGCGCATGTAACCTTTTCCACCAGAAGACCAGCGCCTCAGCGAAAGACCGTTTGCTCTGGTTCTAAATAAATGAAAGAGAAAATATACTTCATACTTTCACATAAATGTCTAATTATTTAATTTTTTGTTAGACTCTAGATAAAGTCATAATGGAAATGAGTACGTGTGAAGAGCCACGAGCCCCTAATGGTCCATCACCAATTGCAACTGCTTCAGGACAGAGGTAAAGCATGTCCTCCGCTCTGTGTGGTTCTCACAGGGTGTTCCTTCCTGTGGCAGTGGCCCTCTTATCTGCAGCAGCAGGACAGCAGGAATATAAAATCCTTTCACCTCAGATGCACTCTGCCCCGACCACCTCTTTCTTACAGTCCCCACGTTTAGATAGTGCAGATTATTTTGGATTAATCATCTCTCTGGATTATCATATTGTTAAATAGTGCTGAGTAGCCAAGGGCAGTGCAGGAGAGCTTAGGTGTTCTGTAAATCAGATACTCTCTTAATTCTTTACTACTGGAGATCACTGTGGTTTCATTTGCCACTTATTCAGCTAACTGTGACTAGTGACAGTCTAAAAATACTAGATGGAAAATTCTGGAAATAAACAATTCATAAGCTTGAAAATCTATGCCATTATGAGTGTCATGAAAAATTGAAATTTAGCTGGGATGTTAATCATTTTGTCCAGCGTGTTCATGCTGTGTAGGCAGTTAGTCCTTCAGCCCTGCCTGGGTCCTCTGATCATCTGCTGGGTGTCAGGGCTGATTTCAAGTACCCTTTACGTCAAGGTGCTCACAAAAATCACAGTGGGTAAGCTGTTTGCTTTATTTTATCTCCTCACACAGGCCTCTTGTTTTTTACATTATTACAAGAAGGGTGTGTTTAGCGTGAGATGTTTTGAGCTGGGGATGTAGCTCAGTAGATGGAGTATTTATTTAGCATGTTCAAAGCCCTGGATTTATGCAGCATTACATACAATAAATGTGGTTGCATATGACTGGAATCCTGGCCCTCAGGAAGCAGAGGCAGAAAGACTTCAAGGTCATCCTTGGCTACCTATTTGAGATCATGTTTCAACAACAAAACTATCTTAAGAACGTTCTTACTCTCATAACTTTTATTACCGTGTATTGTTATATTTACTCTTTTATTATTAGTTACTGTTATTCTCTTGTGTCTACCTTATAGATTAAATGTTATTATAGGTATGTGTGTCTAGGAAGAATAGTATATATAGTTAGGTAATGTCTGTGATTTCGGGCAACCATTAGGGTCTTGGAATATTAATATTTCTCAGCATCTCATTTTCTATGCATCAATGAACTTTTGTCGTTCCTGTAAGTTAAATGTGTGGGAGGCAGAAGCAGGTCGATCTCTATGAGTTTGAGGCCAGACTGGTTTACAGAGCTAATTCCAGGACAGCCAGGACTACACAGAGAAATCCTGTCTCTAAAAACCAAAAAAAATCTAAAACTAAAACCAAAACAAAAAGTTAAATGATGTAAATTATATCCATTTGGATATACTATAAAATTTATACCTGGATATGGTGGTACACCCTGTAATACCAGCACTTGGGAGGCAGAGGCAGGTAGATCTCTGTGCATTTGAGGCCAGCCTGGTCTACGAAGTGAATACCAGGGCAGCCAGGGCTTGAAAAACCAAAAAAACAGGAAGGAAGGAAGGAAGGAAGGAAGGAAGGAAGGAAGGAAGGAAGGAAGGAAGGAAGGAAGAAGATAGTAGCAACTTTATTGAAAAGTTGAAATAGATTTTTAAGAATTACTTGTTTATGGATCTGGAGAGGTGGCCCAGGAATTAGAAGTACTTGCTGCACTTGCAGAGGATTCAGATTTGATTGCCAGCACCCAAAATGGCCAAGCACAACCTTCTGAAACTCCTGCTCCACCATCCTCTTCTGGCCTCTGCGTACTTACATATGTATGCAAAATACTCATATGCATAAATTAAAAATAATTCTTCTTTAGGAGCTGGTGAACTGGCTTAACAGATGAGGGCTCCAGGGAACCAGCTCAGACTGATGTGTTGTTTCCTGTGTGTCTGTATGATGTCATCTGTCCAGTGCTGAGATGACGGAGAGCTTTGTTCTTTGGCTGTAAAGCTTAGTCTTGGACTTGAAAGGAATAATGACAGGGAAAACAGCTGTCATGGTAACTTTAAAATTTCTCCTCTATCTAGAAACTTTTGAGAATTTTTTATACTATGGATTAAATTTTATGTAGAATAATTGGTTTTTAGATTGTTTAGAGTCAGAGAGAATTGGAGAAAAGTTAGAAACACTTTTAAGATTATTGAAAAAGGGAAAGGAAAGTAGGAAAATATATAGTAAGATTGATTTCTTTTGCATTTTTTACTTTGGAAACATGTGGGTTAGATATTAGGGTATTGTATATGTGGAGTTGTGTGAAAGTACCTGCAATTATTTTTAGTGTTTTTTTTCTTTATTTTGTTTTTGCTTTGTTTTCCAGTGAATATGGCTTTGCTGAAAAAGTTGTTGAGGGAATTACTGTTTCTGTCAATTCTATTGTCATCAAGATTGGAGCGAAAGCCTTCAACGCCTCCTTTGAGCTTTCTCAGCTCCGAATCTACAGTGTCAATGCACACTGGGAGCGTTCAGACTTGAGGGCCACTCGCGTTCAGGATCCACAGCGGGGAGAGGTAGAGGCTTTTTTCCGTAATGAATAAATAATCAGAGACATTTAAAAGAATTACATCAGTGGCCAGCAAGATGGCTCAGTGAGTGCAGGTATTTGCTGCTGAGTTTGATAAAATAAATTGTATCCCTGTAACCCACTGGGTGGAAGGAGAGAGTTGTCTCCTGCTGAGGTGCATGGGTGCGCACACACATGTACACATAAAGACACACACACACACACACACACACACACACATCTATTTAAATAATAACTGGAGGGATGGCTTAGTAGCTAATGCTTGATGCTGTTGCATAGACCCGAGCTTGGTTCCCAGAACCTGCGCTGGGAGACTCACAGCCCTGTAACTCCAGTTCCAGGGGGATCTGACTCCCTTTTCTGACTTCTATAGGCACATGCACATATGGTACACATGCATACATGCATACACTTAGATGTTTGTGCAGACACCCCCCCCCACAGAACCACACACACACAACCACACACACACACACGCAGACACTAAAATAAAATAATTGCATTTGTGGTTGCCCGGAACTACATTTACTTTTATTCAGCCACTCCTTTAGTCATGATTCTAACGGTCCTTGTTTATGTTGTTTGCTAAATAGAGTACCAAGAGTCTTAATAGAAGAGTATAATTCTGAATGTATGTTGTTGAATTCGATGACGTGTAAAAGCAGTATGATGAGTATTTTTAGAATGTCACAAAAATTGCGAAGGTTCCTTTTTTATTTGCTTTCATAAACATTCACTTTCTCATTTTGCATGAGTGTGTGCTCCTAATCTCTGTTTTCTCCTTAGGTGCTGACATTTAAAGAAATAAATTGGCAGATGATTCGAATTGAAGCAGATGCCACCCAAAGTTCACATCTGGAAATTATGTGCGCTCCTGTCCGGTTAATAACTAACCAGTCAAAAATCAGAGTCACGCTTAAAAGAAGAGTAAGTGCAGTTGTTTCAGTCCCTGTGTTAGTGTTAAAACAGGCAGGCGTGTCAGGGGCACTGACACCGTGAGCAGTGTTGGCAGGTGGAGGGAGAAGCTCGTATAGTTACAGCACCCTCATCCCATAGTTGAGTATTTAAGTGCTCCAAGGTTTGTATTCTTAACAAATTAAATGGATTTTTATTAATTTTTAAAAATCATTTGTTTATTTTTATTTTATGTGCATTGGTGTTTTGCCTGCATGTAAGTCTCTGTGAGGGTGTCAGATTTTAGAGTTACAGACAGCTGTGAGCTGCAATGTGGGTGCTGGGAATTGAACCTAGGTCCTCTGGAAGAGCAGCCAGTGCTCTTCACCACTTAACCATCTCTCCAGCATCTATATTCCTTCCTTCCTTCCTTCCTTCCTTCCTTCCTTCCTTCCTTCCTTCCTTCTTTCCTTTCTTCCTTCTTTCCTTCCTTCCTTCCTCCCTCCCTTCCTTCCATTCAGATATTTGTTGAATGTTCACTGTCTTACAGTTCCATTGCACAGCCTGGAGTGTAACTTGTGGTAGAATGCCTACTTTGCGTGAATAATGCCCTGAGTTCAGTCCTCAAATGCCATCAGGAAAAAAAGAGAAGAATTTGAGGAGAAAGAAGAAATTTCTCTTACTCAATTTTGTTCAACAATGGTTTTTAGTATTGATAGCCAACTCTTTAACTGTTAGTAAGTTTTTAAGATTTTGCTTAAAATCTTAAAATCATGGGGCAAATGTGGCAGCACACACCTTTAGACCAACACTTGGAAGGCAGAGTTCCAGTTTCAGTCCCGTTGAGACCCTGTCTCAAACAGACAATAAAAGATGTTGCCGGTACTTACATAAATGAAGAAACTAGCATTAAGAGTATCGGAGCTTGAGAGTCCACTGGGATTGGTGATGAAATTTAATGAAGAGGTGACAGTTTGAACAAGAGGCCTGGTGAGAGACCCCGCTGCCTGCTGTGTGCTTTTTGTCAATGGTGTACTGGCATGTATAACTGTGGGAAGTCTGGAAGGGAATCTTCTCTGAGCTTAACAGATTCCCTGAAATGCGAAGTGTGGGGGAAATGACTTTTGGTAGTTGATGAATTGTAATTCTGCTTTCTGAGGTAGGACGAGTTCAGTTAATAGAAGTGATGAGGATCTGTCAGCTGCACATAGAAATTGCATACATGTCATGTAATTTGTCCTTCGGGGACTTGTTGGTCTTCTTAGCACTATCATTCTAGCTTTGGGAAATAGTTCTTTTCTCTTAAAGGAACTCCATAAATATTTGTTACATTTTCAGTATTCCTTATCTCGTGGGAAGAGGAACGTATGGCATGCTATGTGTGGAGGTCAGGATGATTTAGGAATCTCTTTTCACCATGTGGGTTCTGAGGTTTGAACTCAGGTCATTAGGCTTTTCAAGTGACTGCCTGCTGAGCTATCTTGAAGGCTTAAATACTTAATTAAATTAAGACAGTATTCATATCCTCATTAATGCTATTAAAAAGCTTTATGCTTTTAATAAATAAGTGTGTTATAAGTTTTATTCTTGGATTAATTTTTCAATCATTTTTATTACAGTTAAAGGACTGCAATGTCATTGCAACAAAGTTAGTTCTAATACTGGATGATTTGTTATGGGTTTTAACGGATTCCCAGTTGAAGGCTATGGTGCAGTATGCAAAGTCTCTTAGTGAAGCAATAGAAAAGTCAACAGAACAAAGGAAGAGTATGGCTCCTGAACCTGCACAGGTATGCTACAAATTCACAGAAAAAAAAGACAATATGTAACTTAGTTTAAACAGATTGGTGAATTGGTATTTTCTTTATATGATATTGTATCACCCAAACCAAGTTTCTTCTTTATCTAAATTGTTACAGTGTAATGTTATACATGATATTACTGTGTGTCTAGTGCTTGTTTCATTTAGAGCTCTTTGTGCAGGGTATAGAATAATTGGCAGTGTAGAAGTATTTGATGGCATAATGCTTGTGTGTGCATGCCCATGTGAGCATGGAGGACACAGGAGTTTATTGAGACCTGCTTCATCTCCCTGCACCTTATTTCCTTGCAATTCTCTCTCTCACCAAACTTGCTGCTGGAATGACAGCCAGCCCCAGTAATCCTCTCTCTTCTCCCAGTGCTGGGGTTGTGGTTGGGAGTGTTCCACTTTTTTCGTGAGTACTGTGTTTTAGGAAGCCACTTGTTCATTTCCTGGCCACCCAGACTCTTGAAATAACCACACAGAAACTATATTAAATTATTACTTGGCCTATTAGCTCTAACTTCTTATTGGCTAGCTTTCACATCTTAATTTAACCCATTTCCTGTATTTTATATTTTACCGTGGCTTACCAGCAAGGTTCCAGTGTGTCTGTCTCCGGTAGGTCTATGTTGCCATTGAGCAAATTCTAGCAGTCCACACACAAACCCCATTTAAATGCTCGGTCTCCTGAAAGAGCCAGAGTTTGTGCTGTCAGCTTGGCTCAGAAAGGTGCCATTTTAGAACCACGTGACTTTTTTTTTCTGCTACTGCTGAATCAGGAAAACCACTCTTAGGGGTGCTGCCAGCTGAAAAAAACAAGTGTGGCTGAACTTTTTGTGTATCTAGAGTTTCTTTTCAAGCTTTCTTAGGTTTTATGTGGATATAGTCGACCATGTTGGAGCACCAATTTGTAGTAGGAGGCTGCTTGGTCATTTCTTGGCAGCCCAGACTCCCGAAATAACCACTCAGAAACTATATTAATTAAATCACTGCTTGGCCTATTAGCTCTAACTTCTTATTGGCTAATTCTTATATCTGAGTTTAACCCATTTCCAGTATTTTATATTTTATCACGAGGCTTGTGGCCTACCAGCAAGGCTGCTGCATGTCTGTCTCCTTCGGCTCCATGGCTTCTCCCTGAATCTGCCTCTTTTCACCCAGCATTCAGCTTAGTTTTCCCTGCCTACCTGTATTCTACACTGTGTAGGCCCAAGACAGTTTCTTGATTAACCAATGGTATTCACAGCATACAGAGGGACCTCCCACATTAACACTGGAGACGTAAACTCAAATCTTCGTGCTCGTATAGTAAGTGCCCTCGTGTACCAGTCATCTCCTAGCCCAATGATCCTTTTCAAGAAAACATTTGAATTTTTTGAGGTAGAGGGAAATAGAAATAAAACCTGGGTATAATAAGAGAAGGCATTAAAGGTTGGCTGCATAGATAGCTAGAAGTGTTTGGAGACACTAAAGTTGAAAACAGAACTCCTGTTAGAATTCTCTGATGGCCAGGGGTGGATTGGGGATAGGAAATCAGAAGCATTAATTTATCTGAATGGCAAAAGCATTTTTTCAGTCTTTCCCAATATTAAATTCTAATTGCTAATACATAAACATCTTTGTAGAAGGGACATGTAAAATTTTTGATTAGTTTGATTATTTGATTGTATGTTTGATTATTTTATTAAAAGCAGAAATAAGTTTCACAATTTCCTTCATAAAATTTCATGAGATGTTTTAAAGTCATACTTTCATAAAGCTTTTTAATGCATTAATAATATCTGTCAGCGATCTTAGTGTATTGATGGTGGAAGTGACTGCACTGTAGGCTTCCAGCGCTGTTCACAGTGGCACTGTTCACTGCCTGCCTGCTTACAAGAGTGCATAGGTGCCTGTGTTAGTGGGAAAACAAATGTTTGACCCTGCCTTGGAGAAGCTGAGTGTCACAACGAGTGAAATGTACACACTTGAGGTCTACGTATGTACAAGAGAAGGAAAGGGGCACAGGTGTTTCTGACTGACTCGGTAGGGTTTGTAGAGGTTTCATTAGGAACATAATGGGATTATGTCTGAAAATGAAGCTCGGGAGATGGCTCAGTGGGGAAAGTGTTTGCTGAATCATCATTAGGGTCCAAGTTGTGTCCCCAGGACCCACAGCGGCCAGATGTAATGTAAGCATCTCTAGACCACTGCAGTGCTCCTGGGCAGACAGGAGTGTGCCTATGGCAAGATGGAGGTGGAGACAGGAAAATCCAGGAAGCTTGTGAGCCAGCTTGCTTAGTTATGAAAGAGAGATCTTGTCTCAAATTAGGTGGATGGTGAGGTCGTCCTCTGACCTATATGAACACGAACACACAGAGACCTGTATTCACACAGTACACACACTCTACACTCTGTTTCCGAGAATTTTATTTTAAGGAAATTGAGTTCCACACCTTCTACCTTAATGTGTTCTTTATTTCTTCTGACTGCATGAGAATATGCTTGTTTTGGATGTTACACATGTTCTCCTATGCCAGAATTGCTTTTACCCTACTTAAGAAGTGGAAGGCACCCTCTTATAAATCTCCAGTCTGATGGATTTGTCCAGGAAGAACAAGTACTTCTGGGAACAAGACAGGAAATTTGAACTACTTGCTACCAGAAATAAATGATTCTCATTATTAAGTTGACAAATGACTTCCATTATTTTGTTTTGAATACATTTGGAGACGGAGCTAATATACCTTAGGATAAATTGTAATAGGATTGGGTTGTTGGAAGTAATTTCATATGGTAAAGTACAGTGTGAATTCTCGCTTGTAACTTGGAGTGGAAAGTACTAAATTCCATTTTAAAAACAAATTCCCCTCATCCACTCCACCTGTTGGTGTGAACAAAGTCTTACAGCGTTTACAGCCAGAAAAACAAATATGTGCCTACCGAGTTGATGACAAGTCTTCTCTCATTCTACCGGTTCTGTAATGGTTAAACGAGTGGCACTTCCTGAGTTCCCTGGGGTAGCTCAATTTATTTATTTTTACTTTTTTGTTGTTTTGTTTTGAGAGGATCTTAATAAGTAACTTTCACTGGCTTGGAACATACTTTGTAGACTAGGCTGGCCTCAAACTTATATATCTCCACCTGCCTCTGCCTCCTGAGTGCTGGGAGGGTGGGTATCACTATGACTTGTCCCAGCAGCCTAATTTTAAGTTTAGAAATAGCCTGTTGAGCTGCAGTAGGGCAGTTTTCCTGCACAAATGGAGTGGGTAGATAAGAGGGACCTTGTACTTTTTGGTATCTGGGCACTAGTAGGGATATATCAGATATATGGTATATATCAGATATGTCAAATATCTGACAGCATCATAGAGGATGAGCTGAAGAGGAGGACAGAGAACGGAGCCAGTCTGGGGGAAGTGTGTCCACGAGTTTTGAAAATGGCTTGTGTAAACAGAGAATATACTTTCATTTCCTGACTGCCCAGACCCAAATAATCCCACAGAAACTCTATTAAATAACAACACTGTTTGGTTGTGGGTGCAGGCATATTTCTAGCTAGCTCTTTCATCTTAAATTAACTCATTTCTATTATCTGTATATTGCCATGATACTGTGGTTTACTGGTAAGGTTCTGGCATCTTTCTCCTTCAGCAGCTACTTGGTGTCTCCCTGACTCCACCTTCTTTCCTCCTTTATCTCTGTTTGGAATTCCCTCCTTGCTATATTCTGCCCTGCCACAGGCCAATGCAACTTTTTTATTAACTAATAATAATGAAACATATTCATAACATACAGAGGGTAATCCCACATCAGACTGGAAGGTCATATCAAGCCAGATTGGAAAGCAATACCTACATCTTCCAGAAGTTACGGATAAGGAAGCTGAGGACTTAAGAACAATAAGATGTAGTTTGTTAGCAATGAAAAGAAGCGTGGAGGAGGAAGCAGCTTTGATGGAAGAGGTGAGGTGAGGAACACTAAGAATGTAAGTGTGTGCAAATATTTACTGAAATGTGTTGGGCTTCCAGTCAGATTGTGTCTAGTTCTCCAGTTATTCTATCCAATTTTTATAGAATTCAAAAGGCAGCAGAGCTACTGATACAGAAGCCACTGAATTATACTCATTTTTCATGAGTTTATTGCTGGAAATACTCAGGTTTGCTTGTGTGTGACATTCAAGGATGTGACTAGGCAGTGATAATGTGGTTTGGAATCTTTAGAGCTCTACTGTAGCCTCATCTACCCAGCACGTGAAGACCCCACAGGCTGCCAATGCTCCCGATCTAAACGATGCAATTGTAAAATTCTTCAATGACTTTGATGTTAAGGAAACCTCTCATCATCTAGTGATTTCTCATCTAGATCTGCATATCTGTGATGATATTCACGCAAAAGAAAAAGGTAATCTTACATTAAACTATTTGACTCATCTACAAATTGACTACAAAACTATATTGTTTACTATATGTAGCATCCATTAAAATATCATCCTTCAGATTGGTATATAAATGAAACATTTGAAGCATTTTTTTTTGGTCTGAAGTTTGATTTGGTTTTAGTACTTAATACCTTTTAATAGATTGTTGGTTTTCAATGCTAGCAGTGAAATTAGGTTTGAAAATTTAAGACTGGGCAAATGTGGTGGCCCACACTTTTCATTCTCGCACTCAAAAGGCAGAGACAAGCAGATCTCTGTGAATTTGAGGCCAGCCTGTTAGGACTACATAATGAGACCCTGTCTGAAAACAGCAGCTGTAACAAAGACTGAATAAATGATACCCTTGAATAAAATAACTTAAAATTGTCTTTTGAAAGTATGCATTTTGTCCTGTGGTCATTCATAAGTACTCTCATGTGGTAAGCTTGGTAATTAATTCACCTATCTGTGAACCTGTGCTGTATTGGTATTTTGCTTGCAAGTGTGTCTGTGCACTGGTGTGCCCAGTCCCTCTGGAGGCCAGAAGAGGATGTGGATCCTGTGGAACTAGAGTTACAAATGGTTGTGAGCTGTTGTGTGGGTGCTGGGGATTGAACTCAGGTCCTCTGTGAGAGCAGTGAGCGCTCGTAACCTCTGAGCCATCTCTCCGACCCCAAACCTATGTTTGTTGTACACATAAAGACAACTGGGTGGCTCCCTAACACTGTGTCCCCTGCCCTGTCTTCCAAGCATTCCACGAGGACCCTGATGCCTGTTTTAGTCTGTGTCCTGTGTTTTTCCTTATTGAGTAGACTAGGGTAATAGGGTAGGCAGGGAGCTGCTCCTGCCATTTTGAAAATCTAGGTTTCTCGCTTTGAGTGCTCAGTGTTTCTGCTTCTCTGTCACAGTGTCAGTGGTCCATTAATGATGGGAGAGTTCAGCTGGCTGGCTTACCTCAGAGGCAGTGTTTGTATCATTTTGGAGAGTGTTAGAACAAAGTGAAGATCCCTTAAAAGTTGTGATATTTGACCTGAGTTTTTCAGGCCTGAATCAGAATATTCTTTGGATTTTATTGTTTTTAAAGCTGAGAAAGTATTCTAGGTACTTAGGAGAAGAAATTATTGTACAGCCATCAGAGAAATTGAGAAGAATTGGCTAACAAGTAGAAGGGTAGAGAGATCTGACCTAGTGTATAGGTCTATAATCCCAGCCACTGGAACCTTAAGGCAGGAGAATCACAAAGTCAAGGCCTGTGTGGGCTAATTCAAAGTCAGCGTAGGTCAACTCAATTAGACCTTCTCTCAACTTTCTGTAAGACTGGAGGAATTTCTCTGTGATAGTGCACTTGTTTGTCATCTGAGAGGCCCTTAGGTTCACTCAGTCCCCAGGGCTGCCAAAAAGTGGGGGCGGGGGGAGGAGAGTGGAGAGAAAGCGGAGGTTTGGGTGGGTAAAGGAGTTGTTGTCGTTCCTTTGTGCACTTTGTGTCTTTTGGTTTATAGTTGTCATTTTCTGTTTCAGTGACTGAAAAAGAAAAAAACCAAAAACTTTAAAGCATAGTAACTAAATGAGATGGGAAAACATAGTGTTTTCTAAGCTCTCATTCCCGCATAAAACATACTATTCCCTCATAAGTACACTGGGTGATGTCTCCCACACTGTAGAGTTCTGCAATGACTTCTCTGTTGTGAAATCCTAAAGACTCCGAAATAATCATCAGTTTGCAGAAATCTCATCTGATGCTGAAACTAACCAAGACACCTTTCTCACCGTTGCACTCATTTGGCAAATTTCTGCAGCATGCTATTTTACTACTGAGTACTACCTCAGGAAGTATCCAGATGTGCTTTGTGCATACCGTATCTCTTTCAAATAACCAAAACAAGCAAAAGTTCTGAGTACCGAAACAGTTAGCTCCAAACTCATGGAGGTCAGAGGGCAGCATTTGGGAGTCTGTCCTCTGTGAGAGCTGGGAACTGAACTCAGGTGGTCCGGCTTGCTGACAAGTTTTAGCCTGCCGAGCCATCCCTTGGGCTGGTTCAAAGGCTTCAGATGAGGACTGCGTTGCTGTGCTAAAAGTTGCACCAGTTGATGTAAACCAGGGTTAATCAATTATCTTGGGTGTGTGTACTTACTATTGCTACTCGCAATCTGAGTTTTGTAAAGCTTTTTAATGGTAAATTCAGTGTTTCAAATATTTGCTTAGTGTTTGTCTTCCTCTCCTCCTTCCCTCCCTCAATTCTCCTTCTCTTCCCAGAGTCAAACAGACGCATCAGTGGAGGCGCTATGCAGCTCTCTTTCACACAGCTGACCATAGACTATTATCCTTATCATAAGGCAGGTGTGTATGACAATGTATTTCAAATACGCAAATCATTCTTTTAAAATGGCATAGCCTTTTTTCTAAAAAATTTAATTGTTCATTTACTTTAACTTATTAAGAAGAAAAGAGATCAAGATATTGTTATTATTTTTCCTTTGACAGCATTTTATCAAGAATATAGAATTGTCTTAGAACTATATTGAGGTTCATATAGATTATTAGAAACTGAAATTGTTAGAAATTGAACCAGTTTGGGCTCAGGTAACACTGGATGGCCGAGAACTTGAGTAGCATGTCTGAGGCTGTAGGTTCGAGCCACAGAATCACAGAGAAGGGGTGGGGAGGAAGAGGGATGGCGAGAGGGAGGGAGAAGAGAGAATTAAAATTAAATCAATACTAAATTCATGTTTTAAACATAAAAATTTTGAATATAGCAACATATATTTGTATTATTTTGTTATTTGTGACAAATCATTAGTCAATAGTTTGAATTTTTAAATGATATTGGAACTTTTTTCACCTTTCTATATTTACTAAATTTATCAGAAAATAAGATTTACTAGGCGCTTTAATCACCAAACATTGATATGTTCATTTCTCTTGAATAACAAAAGCAAAATAGGATATTTTATTGCCAAATTAAATAATTTGACCATCACATCAATCTCTGAATTTTGGTAGTATATGACTGTTTTCATTTTGTAATTTATGCTAATAAGAAAAAACCAAAAACAAAATAAAATAAAATTTCCAGGACTTTTAAAAAGTTGTAAGACTGCTATGTTCAGGTTCCCCCGTCAGTGCCTGTCTCTTCTCTGTGGACACAGACAGAGTTAGAAACTACTGTTTGTCTCGGGGTCTTTTGTGGGGGCGGGTGCTGTGTCTCTGGGCCTGTCCCAGTTGGGAAGGTACAGAACCTTTCAGCTGCTCGCTGTGCTGTCACAGGCGTGGGAGCCCAGCACCAGGGGTGCAGAGGACACCCGTGATGCAGTGCCAGTCTCCAAGAAGAGAAAAGCCTTCTAACTGTAGAGATTATTCCTGTTTCAGAAGAGAGGACAGCCATAGAACAGGTTTTATTTTCTTAACTTTTGTGTGTACCTGCAACTTCTCTGAGTCATTACAAAGAGACCTAATGCAGATTTTGTCTTGTCCCCTCAAACCGTGTATCTGTTTATGATGGGGGCCTGCGCTGTGCAGTTTTGTTGTTTCCTTAAATGCTTGATAACCACCATCTTGTCAGCTTTATGGATCAGGTTATGGTTAGTTCTTTACAGCCAGTCTTGGTGAAAGGTTTTTCCCTTGGTATTTTTCTGAGATTCTCTACAGCTGTTTGCCAGGTAGTCTGTGAAAATCGCCCTAACCTGTATCTTTGATTCGAGCATTGTTTCACCAGGTGTAGGTTCTAGACAGAAAGTCATCTAGATTATTTGCTTTTGATACCCTTTTCCTCCGCCTTGCTCTTATTTTGTTAGAGAAATAAACCTATATTTTTTTAATATTAAAGACTGGTATGGTGAGCCCTCCTGCAATCAATACCCTCTCTCAAAACAGAACAAAACTGACTCTCTTGAGAGAATGATTAAGTTTTATAAAAAGCCTTTGTTGTAACGGAATGAAAAATCATGCATGCAATAAAGTTCTCTCATTCATTTTTCAGGAGATAGTTGTAATCATTGGATGTATTTTAGTGATGCAACCAAAACAAAGAATGGATGGGCTAACGAATTGTTACATGAATTTGAGTGCAATGTTGAAATGCTTAAGCAGGCCATGAAGGATCATAATGTAGGTTCACCACCTATGTCCCCAACACACGCTTCTCCCCAGCACACCCAAACAGGTATTTCTCCTACTGATGCCCTTGATATTCAAACAAGGGGAGGGGATGAGGGGAGAGTGAGAAGATATTTTATAAGTATTATTTCTAAGCATTATTTAAATTCTAAAGATGTTGACTGATAGTTGTATGAACTAAAACACTTTTAAATGGTTTCATTCTTAATAATGCATATGCATACATGTTTACATATGGGTTAATGCACATCAGTACAATGCCCATGGAGACAGAGGAGGGCACGGGATCCCTGGAACTGAAGTTACAGGCAGTCGTGGGCTGCCTGACATGGGTCCTGGGAAGCAAACTTGGGTCCTCTGCAAGAGCTGCTGCTGAGTCAGCTCCCTGGTCCTCAACACTTCTCAGATTAGCATAACCTTTAGCTGGAATATCTTCTTAGAATATTTAGATTTTAAGTGGCTCATTAATTTTTCACTTTTAACATTGTGAGAGAATGGCTCAAATATAATTAAAAATTATTCTTGTTTTTTAAAAATAGTCATTACAAAAGCATACTTGTATCCTTACGTATTTTCTTGTTTGAGAAACTTAGCATCCATCTGTTGTAGTAGTTTTCTCTACAGCAGAAGAGTAGCCGGGAAAAGTGATTTCACAATGGGTTGAAAGGGCTTTTGTTTTTCACAGAGAAAGAGTCCACTCCGAAAGGGACTCCTAAAGCACCCTCAGTGTTACCGCAGCCGTCCACAGCGAAGCTGATGTCTAGCTCCGTCGTGGTTAGACTTGCAGATTTCAATATATACCAGGTATGTATTAGATCTTCTCATCTCAGGCAACCCAGCTAATTAATCCCACCATTTATCTCTAAAGCTCTAGACTAATTTTATGAAATGTAAATTATATGGGGTAAAAAATATCAGTCCACTGATTTATATTTGTGTGATTGTCTTGAGTTAGGCAAGCTGTGAAGTCAGGGGAACAGTGGTGCGGGTTGTTACAGGACTGGGGCTCCCAGCACTCACAGAGCTCGCTGGAGCACTCACTCCAAGTATGAGAAGAGAGCACTAGCAAAGCCCAGAGTTCTTCATAGAGACCAAATCTCTTCCAGTGCAGTTCTGTGTGGAAGAACCTGAAATGCCTTTTTGCTATACTCAACTTTTAGAAGCGGTGCTGTGAATCAACCTTTATAGACCATTTTACTCAAGCTGTAACATAGCCTATATGTTAGGCTATGTAACATAGCCTAATAGCACAATCTAAGGGCAATACGGTTATATTTGACCTATTTTTAAAAATAAAAACACTTAGGTTCTTATAATTATTTATAAATTTCCCTCATTTATTGTGGTAAGTCCATTCCTTATCTGAAAAGTTTTCATTTAAGTGTACTTAAAGCCCTGATTATTTTCTCATTGTGCAATAGCTTTCTGTACAAACTATTAATAATGCAGCTTATTTACTTGTTATTTTATTTTTTCCTTTGCAACAGGCTGTCATGTAGCTTAGGCTTACTTTGAGTTCCCTATGTAGCTGACGCTGGCCTTGAGCTATTTTTACTCCTGCCTGTACATCCTGAGTGCTGGGGTTAACTTTCAGTGTTAACATTTAAACAAAACCATGGAGAAATGAGGGAGAGTGATCACTCATAATCTCAGATGGTTTATGGTTAGTGTAGTGAAGAAACTCTGCAGCCAGAAACAGTATAAGAACCACAAATATAAAAGTGACAGAAAGTAGTGATATTTCATCTCAACTTTAGTAATATTTACAGTTAAAAATATGCTTTTGTTTATTAAGGTGACATACTCGAGAAGGGTTTGCTTCTGTATATGCAGGAGAGCTTTTAAGTTATGTAATGTAAACTGTCTCATGTCTATGTTATGTGTAACCAGAAAGATTGATTATTTTAAGAAGAAGCATTGTCAAAAGAGTATACTTTCTAAATACTTTCTACAGGCCATAGACATATGTGGAGCTGACAAGATGGCTCAGCAATGGCAGGTGTTTGCCTCCGAGCACAATGACCTGGGTTTGATCCCTAAGACCCACATGCTAGGATAGAAGAACTGACTGCCTAAAGTTCTTCTCTTACTGCCACATGTATGTCGTGGCACATGTGCACTTACACACACACACACACAAATGTAGTAATAATAACAACAATAATAAAGGAAAAAGAAATATGCACATTTGTTGAACAAACGAAATAGTTCAACAATGTGCAAACCTACTGTCTTAGCTTCAATAAATTGATAGACATTATTATCTGAGAGTTAGTGTGCTCTGTTGGGCTCTCCTGAGTAGCAAAGGTTGACCTTGAACTCCCTTTTTCTCATGGCTCTCTCTACCTTCTAGAGTCCTGGGATTACAGGTATGCGCCACCATGCCAGGATTGTACAGTGTTGAAGATTGAACTCTAGGTTTTGTATACACCCTCAGCCGAAGGTGTACATTTCTTTGATGTAATTACAAATGAGTCATTAGCAGAGAGAGTGAAACCATCTATCCAGGACCTTAAAAACAGTAATCCTCTTGGAAATAATTAAGAAATCAAATGATTTGACTGAATTATTTAGAGTTATATTGTGTTTTACATCAATTATTTCTGTAATTAACACATTTTCCCATTAAAATTTTTTTTTATTTGATTTGAATTTTGTTTTTCAAGACAGGGTTTCTCTGAATAGCCCTGGCTGTTCTGGAATTAACCTGTAAACCAGGCCGGCCTCAAACTCTTCCTTGGTCTCCCTAGAGCTGGGATTAAAGATGTGTGCCACTACCACCCAACTCATAATAATAATATTATTATTCTTTTAAGATGTATTTATTTGTTATGTATACAGTGTTCTATCTGCATGTGTGCCTGCAGACCAGAAGAGGTCACCAGATCTCATTACAGGTGGTTGTGAGCCAACATGTGGTTGCTGGAAATTGAACTCTAGACCTTTGGTAGAGCAGCCAATGCTCTTAACTGCTGAGCCATCTCTTCAGCTCTCATTATAATTATTTTAAATTATAATTCATTGACATCAAACACATCCACATTGGGCGACTATACAACCTTTATCTGTGGATTTTTTTTTCTGTATTGCAAACTCTAAAATGCTAAAATTATAAAATAGAGAATCTATGACAGACTATAGAGAACATCTTGGGGAAATATTCTGGCCTTGATTCCACTCTGTGTCTTGAATCTGCCACTTGTTTCTCTATATTAACTAATAAGATAGGATTATTGCTATTTTTCTGTCATCTTTAAGGCTCAAAATAATAAGTTCATTGAAGATAGTGTACAAAGTGAAGCTTTTTCTTTTTTTTTTTCAGAACAGGGTTCTTCTGTGTTGTTAAGTTTTTAATAGATAAAAATCTAAGCTGGTTATAGAGTTTTCTGAGTGACTGGTGGATATTTCATTGTGGATGCTATTTTTCTACATTTCTTTATGTGTTTAGTGTGTCACCTGCACACAGCACAGCACAGTACACGTGCGGAGGTGAGAGGACTCAGTTCTCTTCACCATGCGGCTGTCAGGGACTGAACTCAGGCTCGGCAGCAAGGACTTTTACCCACGAGCCCAGACGAGCGTTCAAGATGAGAGTGATGTGTATGTACATTGTAAAAAGTCTTTGGAGAGGGCTTTATTCTGTATAATCTACACAAACTTGTTTTCTCAGGTCTCTACAGCAGAACAGTGTCGCTCTTCCCCCAAAAGTATGATTTCCTGCAACAAAAAATCCCTGTATCTTCCACAAGAAATGTCAGCCGTCTATATAGAGTTCACGGAATATTACTATCCAGATGGGAAAGACTTTCCAAGTAAGAGAGTTTACTTTGTTATTGTTTGTTTATTACTGAATTTTTTTGGATGAAAATTTTGGGTTTTATTAATTTAGATAGGAAAATTGACTCTTCTTGTTGTGTTTAGGACACACCTTTATTCTGGATTTGTGCACATTGTCAACAATTGTTCATGTGTCCTTTCTCCATCCTCTTGTGGCCTTTGATGGCAGGAATCTTGTGGCATGTATGACTAATTTTATGTGCTTTTAGCCTGATTTTTGGTGTTTACTAACTCCTTGTTAAATGAAATATGAATGAATGTTATTGAAGAAAATTGTCTTTTTCTTTTGTAAAATTCCATTGGCAAGTTGGAATTATAAACTCCGGCTTACTAAAAATGAATAGTTGCAGTTTTCCTTTTAGCTATAAAGAATTTGTCTTGACTCTTGTACGCTATTTTGGCTTCCTCAAGCTAAAATAATTATATATTTGTTTATTTGAATATTAAAATGATGCGCTTTTGTTTTATTTCACCATAAGTCTTCAAATTAAAGTCTTCAAATTAAAGTCTTCCTTTGAATTGTGATCTTCACACACATAGTGTGTGTGTGTGTGTGTGTGTGTGTGTGTGTGTGTGTGTGTCTTTAGATAGGTATGTGGAGGACAGACACCAACTTCAGGTGGCATTTTTTCTTATGCACCGTCCACTTTGTTTTTGTTTATTTGGTTTTTGCTTTGGCTTTTTTAGACCAGGTCACACTATGTGGCCCTGGCTGACCTGGTAGTCTTGCTGTGTAGATCAGGCTGGCCTTGAACTCAAAGATCTGCTTGTTTCTCCCTTGTGGAGACATAAGATGTGTGGTACCATGCTTGGCCCACTTTGCTTTTGGAGGCAGGATGTCTCCCTGGCCTGGAGCTCCAAGTACGTTAGACAGTTGATTGAGCAGCCCCGTGGGCTCCTGTGTCTTTACCTCTCTGTCCTGGGTCACAGTAGGCAGGCCTGGCTTCGGTTGCATGGGCTCTGAGAACCCTAGCCCTCATCCTTGCAATACTTTGCCTACTTCTTTAGTGATGATTTAATTATTTACAAATTATTACTTTGTGTACATGGATGTCTTGCCTGCATATATATCTGTGTGTGCAGAATGTGAGGAACCCAGAAGAGTGTCAGATCCCCTGGAACTGGAGTTACAGATGGTTGTGAGCTGCCTCATGGAAGCTGGGAATCAGACCTGGGCCCTCTGCAGGAGCAGTCTGAGCCATCTCCCCAGCCCAGTGTTGACTTTCGAATGTAGGCTTTTCATTTCAACAGGAATTGTTGATGCTTCTGAAATTGGTTTGCTTTTGTTATAAAATAAGGCATTCTAGAAATCACTTTAGAGAAATGTCCACATATTTTATCATACTTTTCCTTATTTGTTCCAAACTGATAACGTCTAATCCTTCGTTTTCCGTTTTCCAGCATTTTCTCTGTGTGTGCACTCACTCCTTGTTCCCCTTGGCTGTTCTTCTGACTTAGTAGGTAGGGTTGGAACATGTCCTCAGTGTCTACTGAGTACTGAAATGGCACAGCTGAAACCCATGGTCTACCTTCTGCTTCCCCCCATAGTATTGCCCTGTTCCCTAGGGCACTCTTCTTTCTCTTCCTCTTCCTCTTATTCTTATTCTTCTTAGCCTTTTTTTGTCAGGCCTGGAAGTTGCTATATTGACCAAGTTGGCTTCATGTCTCTTCCTCCTAAGTGCAAGCTAAAAGTGTGTGCCACTGTGCATCAGCAACACCGGACAAGGGCCGCTCACATGGACTCTCCTTGCCTTGCTTCCTCTTCTGAAGCTCTATCTCCAAATAGTTGCTGAGGTCCTGAATCTAAAGACTTTAACAAAAGGACTTTGGAGCATGGGGTGGAGTGTACAGTTTGGCTCATAGAAACAAGTATAGTATTCTCGATCTTGTTTTTAACACATGTGCCTCTTTTTCATATTTTAATTGTATACTGCCCCCTTTCCTTAATTTTATGAGCCCAGTAAAGGGTTCTGCTAGCAAGTTTGATTTGCTTTTAGGGCTGAGATGTAGCTTAGTGTCAGGATGCTCGCCTGGTATTGGAAATGCTTGGTTTCAGCCCTGAGCATCACCCGACCCCCAGACAGGCAAATGTCCACCAAAACAGCAAATAAGCACAGTAATATCTCTGAGCTACATGGTCATCTGGAAACAGCCCTCTGCTGCTCAGTGTTCCATCTCTCTGTGCTCAGCTTGGGGACGGTGTTTGCTCTCTAGTATTCTCTACGGCTGCTGCCATCACCGTCCTCAAATAGAAATTTCCCTTCCTTCTGGACTGTGACGCGTTCTTTTCTGCGCTCTTCTTTCTTCCATTACTGAAGGCAGACACCTCGACATCACAGCTGGTCTCTGAGAGGCTTGAGTCACTTTTTTCATTTCATATTTATCTGACGTATAGAAATTTTAATGGAATTGGACCATGCTTTATTTCTCTTATTTTTTTTTGTCCTTACCATAATGCATAAAATATAGACCTCCAGTGGATGGTTTTTGCTTTTGTAAATTGAGTGAAGAGATGAATGCAAGCTCCCAAAATCAAATGCACACTGGTGGAATATTCTTTCTTTCGGTTTTCTACCTGTTGGGATTTCTTTTTTTTTTTTTAATTTGATATGAAATTCTACACATGTATTATCTCTCTCCCTCAATACATTTTTGTTGTTGTTTTTGTTTTTTGAGATGGGGTTTCTCTGTGTAACAGTCCTAGCTGTCCTGGAACTAGCTCTGTAGACCAGGCTGGCCTCAAATTCACAGAGATCCACCTGCCTCTGCCTCCTGAGTGCTGGGATTAAAGGTGTACACCACCACTGCCCAGCTTCTCTTAATACATTTTAAGACTGACTTTAATCTCAAAGTCACATACCCATATAACCCATCTTCCTGCTTCACTTATTTTGTTTTTAAAAGATAGGGTCTCTCTATATATTCCTGGACCCTGCTGTCTAGGCCAGGCTGGCCTTGAACTCCTGCCTCTGCCTCCAGGGTTAGGATTAAAGGCATGCCCTGCTTGCACTGGTCACTTAGCTTAAAAACTAGATTTATGTTTTATTAAACAAAGACTTGAAACAAAGTATCATGTCTATTATGTATAACAAACCTGAACACTTAACAAAAAATTTATTGATCGCTCAATATCTTTTTACTTTAAGACATACTGTTTTGATAAAGTTTTCAAACTATTTTTTAATGTTTCTTGTTATCAGCATCCATAATACTTGAAAACCTATAGCTTATGGCAATATTCATTGTACATGCTGCAACACGAACAGTTCATTGTAGGATGGAGAGGGCACATCATTCTGCCTGTCGAGGATGGGGGGAGCACACTATTCCTGCCTGTCGAGGATGGGGGGAACACATCATTCCTGCCTCTCCTTCTTAAGATTTTACTTTTCAGAAACACAGTTTCTTGTCATGTGATGTTCTTTGCCATATTTTCATTTTGTGGACCTGAATTCAGTTTCATGTACTTCAGGTTAGTTTAAATTACAATGCCTTAACAACAGAAGGAAGTATTGTAATGTGTTTTCCCTCCTACCACTTGAAAACACAGTGGGTGTATGCATAGTTACTGTGTCCCTACCACCTGAAACACAATGG